TGTAAATAATTAATGAATATGTGCTGAAATTTTCGTTTAAATTGGATAATTCCCTGATTTTTGGTAATTAAAAAAAAAGCGCTGTCCTTCGCCCAGAATTTTCCTTCAAGGGTTTGTGTCCGCCAGGTTGTGAAACGTTTAAATCGACATGTAATAGAAAGAGGGTCCCCGTATCAAAGTTTCCGGGGTGGGTGTCTCCAAGACACTAGCGCCAGTCCTGACTTTTTCCATATGACATACCTATCTATTTACGATTTCTCTCCGAAGACATAACGTCATCTTTCGGTCTCTCTTGACAACCGTCTGAAACGCCATATTAAGCTACGCCGTGTTTGACTGGCGCTTTGTGACAATAGCATATTTTCAACTGCGTTCTGTAATCAATGACTGAACCCTGATAATGTCATTTTGAACAATGAAGCAACACAAACTTTCTCCTCTTAATCTGATTATATATCGGACCAGGCTAAGCAAAACAAATACCCATCGTTACGCTTTAACAAAACCTGTGCCATATCCTGTCTAAAAATATTCTAGAGGTTTCTTTCTTTATCTTTTCATAATGATTATTATGATAATGCAAAAAAGGTATATAAAATTAACGAATTTATCTTGTCTGGATTTGAACGTCAGATTATGTAATGAAATAAGTTCTGTTACTTCAACAGCTCGCTAAAATTAAATTTCAAATACTAAGAGAGGGGAGACTGATTTGATTTTTACGGCTTACCAACCCTTTGTGAGTTATTTAATACATTTCGGATAGTAGGATGTTTTACAGGATCTGGCGTTTCCGAAGCGGTCGCCCCTTTAAGTATTGACCAGGTTCGATCAGTGATCGAACGAGGACCGGTGTCTTCAGCGTGATATGACCATAACCAAGAGCACACATACTTCACTAATCTTTGGTAGAGGGCAGGAGAATATCACTTTGAACCGAGCCAGTAGTGTTGAACCATGCATCACTTATTACAGCCACGAATTTCACACACACACACACACACACACACACACACACACACACACTAGATAGATAGATAGATAGATAGATAGATAGATAGATAGATATTAACAGCGTGACTAAATTCTGTTTCGATGCGATCTTCAGACCAAGTGTCACTACTTCCTTAGCGAGTTCTATATACAGATATAGGTCACCAGGGGATTAAGATTATTAGGGAAAAGAGGGAACTGGTGCTTTCTGGTTTCTTTTGTTTAGAGCTATATATGGATATGACCATTCGATTCATAATTTAATTTATGTATTTATTTATTATAAATGAAATATATAAATGAAAAATAAACATATATATATATATATATAGTAACTTTAACGTTTGCCAGAACTATGTTTTTCAAAAGTTAAATTCAGATGGAGAGATATGTGGCTACACCGTGATATGGCTCTCACACTCTCTCTCTCTCTTTCTCTCTCTCTCTCTCTATATATATATATATATATATATATATATATATATATAGAGAGAGAGAGAGAGAGAGAGAGAGTTTAATGGTTAGAATCTCCGACTGACACCGATTCAGTCGAGTTTCGATCCTAGCTAGAGGCAACCGGGTGTCTAGCCACACTGATGAGCTGCGAAACAGTCTGTCTGTGGATGACGTTATATATATATATATATATGTAGTTTGGATTAGAATCAAAATTAGTAGTGAGACAATTTTAACTCGTTTCGCTTATATTTTTTGTGGTGTGACACCGATTCAGCGGCAAGACAAGTCAAAATCAAAATTTACCAGATATTTGGGAAAACCCCGGTAATGGGCATACACGATGACAGAAAATTTCATTTCTCTTTCAAATGTATTGACATCTGTGCTATGGCACAGATTCTAAACTTTTAAAGAGAAGGAAAAGTCACTAGCCGCCATAGCGATGCGACTCGGAGATATCCAGCTTCTTAGAGGTGGCCAAGTAAACAGGAGAAACGACAGGCAACTCTTCAAAGACAGCAGGGAAGTACCCATGATATCATCACACAAATTCACATCACTTGTGATGCTCCTGAATTTGTGAGCAAGTAGGGCCATGTCATATCACCACACATCCTGTAGTGCCTAAAGATTAATGTCAATAATTATATCTAGGTTCTAGAGACAATGGTCAAGGCCTTGTGTTGTACATGTTCCAGTAAGGCTCTTCTCTCACACACATAGCCCATGACACAGGCTGACAATTCTTGGGTTCGTCGTTCTATTAGTTTTAATTCCTGGATTACTACTCTAGGGCATCATCGAGATTAAGACCAACCAGTATCCTACCCCCATTTCAAAGGATTGCTTGAAAGCTATCATCAATGAACGTGATGGTTTCAAAACAACAACAACAACAACAACCAACTGATCCAGGCATGATTCGCTTCCGAGGTCATCCTCGAGGTAAATGTAGGGGTGGGGATCGAGATGAATTATATTTCTAATTTGAACACGTGGACAATTTCTTCGGGGGAAAATATATCAGTTATTTTTCTATTTAATACTTTATGAATAGATTATTTGTTCTCAATGACCGACCCACCTATCTATCTATCTATCTATCTATCTATCTATCTATCTATCTATCTATCTATGTATGTATGGTGACCGAGTGGCTAGAATATTCGCATTCTGGCCATGAGACCGTGGTTCGAATCTCACCATCCGATAACATCCAGCGTGCGGCACCTTAGGAAAGTTCTTGAAAGCTATGCCACGGGTTGACCCAAGCCTTGTGAGCAAAATTGGGAGACGGGACGTGGATGCTAGCACGAAGTTACAAGTCATCGTGACCGGAGTATTGAGCGTGCTGGCCCTGTTCATATTGTTGACCACGCAAGATAACACGCTCTTTCCCAGAAACTGTAACTAAGATCTGCTCAACATAGTTGCAGTATAAATCACAGGTGGGCTCTGTGGGTGTTGAATAAACACAATGCGCCTGAGCAAGCGTCTGCAACAGGGATTAGCTAGCAGCCCTAGTAGATGTGTATCCTCGAATACGAGGAGCCAACTATACATACATCTATCTATCTGCGTACAAATCTATTGTTATATATATATATATATATATATATATATATATATATATATATATATATATATATATATCCAAGTATAGGATGGCGCATACGAAAAAAATTCCTATAACCAACAAATACTATTCTTAAAAGAGTGCTCAATACAGAGTAGAGCAAATATAATTATTTATTCGAAAATTATAACATAAATATGTTATAAAATCAATACAAAAATAGACATTTTGTTTCAACACTTCTGGTGTCTTATCATGTGATGGTGTTTTGAAAAAATGGCTATTTCTCTAAGGATTTTATAACATTTATGTTATCATTTTCGAATAAATAATTATATATATATATATATATATATATATATGTATGTATGTATATATATTATGTATGTATGTATATATATATATATATATATGTGTGTGTATATATATATATATATATATATATATATATATGAATATATATATATATACACACACACACACACACACAAGTTTCATTAAAGATGCCTGATAAAATACTAATTAATTTTTTTATTTGATTTTTCTTGTGCTTGTAGAAGTGTTTCTAGTGTGTAAAAATCTATGCAAAGGTTCTGCATATCTGAGCACCTTCGTTGGGCACCTCGAGGTGGTGTAATGGTTAGCAGCCTTGTCTCGCTATGACAATTACGTCTGAGTAGTGAGTTCGATTCTCACTGGGTGCCCCCTAATTTCGGCCTTGTGCCACATCTAAGCTATGTTTGGAAAATCACTATCTGAGCGCTTTCGTCTAATCTTTTAAGCATGATCAAAGACGAATTTTAATTTTGTTTATTTTTAACTAAATGTGTTGGCATTTTGCATGTTTCTGGGACATTAAAAATTAAAACACTTGTCCGAATACAAAAAAAAAAAAAAATTAAATAAAAAACTTAACCGCAATACCTCGTCAGTTGTTTTAACGATACTTTTATAAAAGTGGGATTGCTGCCCAAATATATATATATATATATGTATATATATCATTTCTCTCTCCCTTATTTTCATTTCTCTCTCTCTCTCTCTCTCTCTCTCTCTCTCTCTCTCTCTCTCTACATAAATATATATATATATATATATTGTGTATATAGGCAGCAATCCCTCTTTTATACATGTTTTCATTAGTGACGACTGACAAGGTACTGCGATTGAGTTTTAAAAAAATTAAATAATAAGCTTAAACACAGTATCTTGTCAGCAGTCTTTAGCGAAATATATATATATATATATATATATATATATAGGTTATATATATATATATAGGTTATACTTTAGTGGAACAAATATGTGTGAGTATCTGCACATATATGCAAATAACTGCATACGTATCTAGTTTTACAGTCTTGCACCCCACTACGCGTGCCCCCAGATATACAAATGCATATTTCGTCTTATATACACATTAGATATACTCCGTCACAACCCACTGACTTAACACACACACACACACATATATATATATATATATATATATATATATATATATATATATATATATATATATATGCCTGTACGGTCAACAGTGGAAAACATGAGGAAAGGAAAAGAAAGTAGAAATGCATCGGAAGGTTAAACTACTACTTTTTACATCTAAGAGAAAGAAATTTAAATTCTCCAAATAGCGAAATCCACTTCACGTTCGCTTCCTGTCTTTCTTTCTAGCATCTATAGACTTAAGATGGCTTCTGCTGCTCGAAGCATCGCTCTTCCACCTCCCTATCACCAATCTTTACCAGACCGTCGCTTCCCACTCGATTCCAGTTTCCCTTAGCTCATCCTATCCCTCTCATTTACAAAATGCACACTCAAACACATTCTCTCGCTTTCTCCCTTTCATCCACTCTCTCATTCTCTCTCTCACACACACATTCACACACACGCACACACACACACGCACACAAGCACAAGAACAAGCACACTTACACATAGACAGCCTCACACGGACTCATTTTACTTAAGCTTTCTTTAATTCTTCTTCACTGCCTTTAACCTCTGACCCTTCGCCATTTTCTTTTTCTGACTGTTTTTCGTTCCGTCTGCCTGTCTTTAGAATGTTATTGTTTGTTGGGTTTTTAGATTTGCTTTGTAGAAATATTTGCAGAGATATGAAATACGTTAGATTGATAGATAGATAGATAGATAGATAGATAGATAGATAGATAGATAGATAGATAGATAGATAGATAGAAATTTTATTCATATTAATCAAAGATAGATAGATAAATTGATAGATATGAATAGACCAAGATACATAGATATATAGGTAGATAGATACAACTAGGCCAGTGAGAGAGAGAGACAGAGAGAGAGAAAGACAGAGAAAGAGAGAGCGAAAGATAGATAGGTAGATAGAAATTTTATTTGTATTAATCATTGATAGATAGATAGATAGATAGATAGATAGATAGATAGATATGAATAGAGCAAGATAAACAGATATATAGGTAGATAGATATGACCAGGACAAGATATATATATATATATATATATATATATAGAGAGAGAGAGAGAGACAGACAGACAGACAGACAGACAGAGACAGACAGAGACAGACAGAGGCAGAGACAGAGGGCATAGATAGATAGATAGATAGATAGATAGATAGATAGATAGATAGATAGATAGATATGACATGGTCAAGATAAATAGAAAGATCCACAGATAATGAACCGAACCGAATGACAGAGAGAGAGAGAGAGAGAGAGAGAGAGAGAGAGAGAGAGAGTTGTCTCGCTATAGAACAATGGTTTCCAAGTTAGTTCTGCAGCCTCGCCCACTTCAGTTCTAAAAAACTCAATCTTTATTGGATCCCCAGCCTTGTGGCCTTGTGTCGTACCATATTAAGATTACTTAGTTCTAATAGAAACAGAAAAAAAATGAGAGATTAATAAATGGAAGAATCAATGAGAGGCGACATGCTAAAAAAAAAAAAAAAAATATTCACGATATGAAATAGAAGAAAAAAAATAAGCAAAGAAAGAAAGAAAGGAACTTAGGAAAAAAAACCGCTAGCAACAATAATAACAAAATGTTCAAAAGTCAGAGAGAAATGGAGGGAAACGAACGGAGAAGGAAACGCAGCAATGGAACTGACAAAGCAATAAATATCTGAAACAAACTGCCTTTATTTGCTCTGAACTTTTCTTCCCTCCCATCTTTTCACTGGCACCAAACCGACAGATGAAAAGTTGTTGCCAGATGCCAGATGTAAAATGCAACGAGCAAGAGAGAAAGAGAGAGGAGGAAGAGGAAGAGGAGGAGGAGGAGGAGGAGGAGATAGAAAGAATTGACTCTTGTGTTTTCGTTGGCAGACATTATACTGAGGGCAGCTTTTTCAGCCCGACCCCCGCCATTGGTAAGAGACTGACCTCCGGTCATTCTGTTTATTTATTCTGTCCAGCCATTCTTTCTCGCGAGCTATGAGCAATTAATGGCTAATATCGACCAGAAGGACTTTGGAGTTCGGCCATCATGGGACATAGCTGAAATTTCTCTTTTTGTATTTTTAAATTTCTCTTATATTTCTTTCAGTTATTCCGGAATTCAAAGCATTTATAGTAAACAACGCTGTTCTTTTCTCGCCTCTTATAAACGAGAGGATAATTCCGTAAGAGGCAAAATTCTGCTGGATTTTCATCCTGTAGTTTATGGAAAACACATGCTAAAGAAATGTTATGTAAGATAATTGACATCGAACATTTACTACTATAAACGTTATTTTTACAAGGTACACGTGTTTGAGTTACAATTATTGATAGCAACTCCAACACGTTTATAAGAATTAATATCATATTTTTTTTAAATTCATTTAGAAATTATTTTACGTTTTTTACGGCTTATCAACCCTTTGCAGGTCATTTAAAGACAGAAAATATTTTTTCAGGTTGTAAGAATTTTTTTCGAGATAATACAGGTTTTAGTTATACAAGTCTTACTAATTAACCCATAACTGAAGGAGAGATGAGGTGGGGTCATACTTTTTCAAAGGGTATTTCCGCGTAAGTGAATATAACGAAACCCAAATGGAATTGGAACTCGGCTCTCCAATTAACAATTCTGAGCCATTACCCATTGCACCACCCGCACATCCTAGCTTACAGCACGCGGTATCCCCAAGCGGTTATTCATCTAGGTACTGACCAGAGTCAATATTGCTTAACTTTGGTGATTGGACGGGAACCGGTATTTCAAAATGATATGGCCGTAAGTTTTGCGCTTCGGATAAAAAAAAAATGAAACTATCAGATATAGATTTGTAGAAGTCTCAATGAGATCTGTGCGTTTCTGATAGGTGTGGGGGGGGGTAATTCAAAGCTCGATCTATCAGCATGGTCTCACGTAGCCAATTTGGTATCATTGCGTTTCCGGATGAAAAAAGCGGGGCTTCGATTCCTGTCGAGAGGCAGAATTTTTTTCTTTAGTTGGGTTTTTCAGAGTCTCAAGGACACATGGCACAGTGGATAAAGGTGTTGGTTAGATCCAGTGACAGGACCCAAAGAGTGTGAGTTCAATACCCGGTTAAGGCAGTGGAGAACTTTCAGAGGGAAAATTAACAGGAGATAACTGATAACTGACATCCATTAAACATGGCACGTGGAACTAGAACAATCTACCCCAGTGAGCGAAATAAAGGGTTTAGTTCGACATTCCAACCACCTGAAGAAGGCCGAAGGGTACAACGGCCGAAACGTTGTGATAAACATAATGACAAAGATGAGGACAATAGTCTGAATTATGTAAATAATTGGGTTTTTCAATCTCGATTATTAATTTCCACTGATTAAGAAAATAAAAACAAGGATAGCAACTCATACACGTGTACTCCCCCACCCACAAAAAATCGAGAATTATACAGTGTAAACTTCAGATCCATATTCTAGTAATAACTACATATTAGGCTACGGATAGTGATGCACACACTGTATACACCAATGTATATATAATGGCCAAGGGAACATCACTATGACATTTCCTGAGTTCTACAGTTACTTCATTCATTTATTCATAATATAAACCCCTTTATTACCTGTCTATATTTCTGAGATGAGGTATTATGTACACTATTTACATTGCTCGGACTATCATCCTCATCTTTGTTGTCATATTTATCACAAAGTTTCAGCCGTTGTATACTCCTGCCTTTTTTGTAAACTTAAGGAATCAGCACATATGCTAGGCCACAAAAATCTCCTGAGCCGACCAAGCGTAGAAATGAATACAATATGGGAACCAGTAATAAGGAGTGCCAGAGAAAAGCACTAATAACAACGAAAATTGCAATATGAGCTCTGGTAAGAAAAACATGCAATGATAACAGCAAAAATTACAATATGAGCACTGGTAAAAATAGTTGCTGAAGACATTAGGTTTATAATACCCAGAAATTCATACACAGTTGTCCTCATGAACACATGGCACAGTGGATAAAGGTGTTGGTTAGATCCAGTGACAGGACCCCAAAGATGTGAGTTCAATACCTAGTTAAGGCGGTGGAGAACTTGGAGAATGGAATTAACAGAAGATAACTGACATCTATTAGACACGGCATGTGGAACTAGAACAGTCTACTCCAGCGACATTCCAACTACGTACAACGGCCGAAATAAATATGGCAACAAAGATGAGGAGCAATGTAAATATCAAAATACATATCTCACATATAATGGCCAATAGAACATCACTATGACATTTCCTGAAGTCTACAGCTATTTCACATGTATCCACAATATAAAGCACTACAATTAAATGCATAAAAATAAAATCACAATTAAATATATATTTGATGAGGATCGATTCATTTCTACTTACATTATGTATTTAATCATAACGTGTGTGTGTGTGTTAGAGAGAGAAATGAAATGTGTAAAACTCTAAAATTCGTTACGGTCTCAATTCTGATTTAAATGTTACTCTTTTTCGCACAGGTGCCGGAAAGAAAGGCATGAACTTCAAAACTCAGACCCATGCGTTTTGATGTAATTACAATGAGAGAAATAGAACGATTTCAATCATTATTAAAAACACAACCAGAAAAAAAATCTCCCACTGTTTTTGGAAGTCGGGGTGGGGTTAGTTAAACGACGAAAAAATTAATTTGTTTCGACTATTTCAGTTTTATTTGACTGATTATTTAATATCCAAGTCAGACACCAAGCATAGAAAAAACTCACTGTTGAAGCAAATCTTTATTTATAGGTGCTGCTTTTTATTTTATATAAATGACGTCCCTAATTTTAAATATATTATATTTTGAATGAGGTTAAACAGTAGCATTGTCCAACAACAATCTGACGTAGATGGTTAGAGACGTTATGATTATGTATGATGTGACAATAAATTACATACTGTTGAGAAAAATGTCAAGTAAGTTAGCGAGAAAGTGACTTAGTGTTATGTCCAATGTATAGAGCTGTTTTTGTTTCCTAAAAGACACTTAAATTGGTTTATGAAACTGGAAATTTGTGCAGTAGATATTTTGGAGAAGTGGAATTGGTAATAATGATATTGGATTCTTTAAACAGCAGATAATAAATCTTAAGTGGTAATGAAATATATATATATATATATATATATATATATATATATATGCAGATTCATTTTTTTATTGATTTCTTGTCTTTCATATAACTGGAGTCCATTTCATTACAATGGGACCGGTTGATATCCTTTTTGCGATGGTTGATTTAGGATGCTTTGTGGCTTCAATAATTAATTTTCTGTAAGAATAATTTAATTTGTTCACTGACGATGTCATTAGGAAAGCTGTTATTACAATTCTTGATTAAGAAATTCTTTTAGAAGAACACATTTTGGTAAGGTTGATTATTTTAAAATCGCCCTTTCATATCGTTGTAGGATATTCAATTGGGCAATTGAGTAGGCGAGAGTTAATTCCAGATGTGAACCGATTATTCATAAAATATGTTTTCAAGAGACTAAAACAAAAATCACCGACTTACATCTTTCTATATACCTTTCCAGCTGATGATCGATGGAATGGTCGAAAGGTCTAGGACTTCACTTCCCTATAATTCAACTATGGACTCTACATTTATAGATTTCTATCTAAAATGAAGAATTTTTCGAAACCAAAAAAGGTTGTCTAAAAACGTAATGGTAATTGTTCGTTAAATTCAAAAGTAACTGCACACACACACTCACACACACACAGACACACACACACACACACATATATATATATATATATATATATATATATATACAAACCAGAAGAAAAACAGAAAAAGGAAAATCATTTGGTATGTCCCCACCCCCGTTCAACCTAGGACAAAAATTCATAGCTTTAACCGAAAAACATTTTCCTAATAATAGAAAACTTGGCAAGATTTTTAACATAAATACCCTAAAATTAAGTTATAGCTGTACTGAAAATTTAGAACGGATTATAAAAAGCATAATAAAATCTTGAAAAAATACGCATGCTAAAATCCTAAAATGAAATTAGACAATAAAAAAAATTATGTAATTGTAGAAACCCTGAAAATTGTCCTTTGAATAAAAAATGGTGCATAGAATCCGTGGTATACCAATGCACAATCTCAATAATTGAGAACCCAAATATTGAAAAGATATATATAGGATCCACACCAAATGAATTTAAAATGAGGTGGAGACAACAACAAAGTTCCTTCAATAATATTAGAAACCGAAACCAAACATCACTATGTAAATATTTTTGCCACTTAAAAGAAACAAATAAAATACCAACAGTAAAATGGAAAATAATAAATAAAACAAGAACTTGTGGAATCTGGGATGACTTATGCCCTTTATGGCTACATGAAAAACTGCACATTATCAATTTTCTAAAAAACAAAAATTAATTAAATCAATGAAATAACGCTTTTTGCAGACACCACCAAATATACGCCTTAAAAATTAGTCATTTATAAATGGATAGAAAAAAATTTACAATAGAAATGAAATCCTAAATTATATATATATATATAAATCCACAATACTATATGTAAATAAATACACAATACCATATAAAATCTATTAGCAAATTCAATTAATTTCAGACACGTATAAAAATATAGGATTAAAAATACAACCCAATCATATCTAAGTACCCCTTTAAGAAACAATCAGCGAAAAAAAAAACAAATAAATAAATAAGCACCAAAAAGACTAACTAGAACATTAATCACTGAAAGTTTTAAGAGATCGTAATAAAAACAACAGAGCCTGATAGTAAAGAACATTGTAGCCAGACAAAAATCCCCCAACCCAACCTTACACGACTCCAAAAATTTGACATATAATAAATATTCCTACTTTCATGAAAACAAAGACCCCTTGATAATGAAAGAGAAACCCCATTTTACACCTCCATTTTCAACCTATAAATGAGTGAAACATTTCTTCGGTTAGTTATTCCAAACATCGCTTGAGTATGAAACTGCTCTAAATTTCAAGTTTAATTTTGAAATTAAACTTTAGGACTTGAATTTCAGTTTCGAAACATAGTCATTTCTGTGTCGAGATGCAATCATATTTTCCCAAAAATAATTCTAATTTTAATCTCTACTTCTGTATCGAGCACTGTTTTTTAAATAATTAAAACACAAATACCAAAGAACTTTGGATCATTAATCTGTTCTTTTTTATTACAGCAATACACACACACACACACACATGTCTTTTTCAGGCTTTCAACGCAATCTTTAGGCCTGAAACATGAAACAGTCTGTCGCCGCTCGATATTGACCTCACTGTCCACTTTTATATTTACATACGCTCTATTCCTGATATTCAGTACTCTTATCCATAAATATAGTATAGTATATTAGCTGGCTACTTGTACCCGAGGATGCCCGTCTACTGGGGCAGCTAGTTAATCCCCATAGCAGACGCCTGCTCAGGCACATTTGTGTTTGTTCAACACCCTCAGAGCCCACCTGTGGTTTATACTGCAACTATGCTGAGCGGACCTTTTTTTACAGTTTCTGGAAGATAGCGTGATCAGAACAAGCCCAGCACGCTCAAATCATCGGTCACGATGACTTTTGACTTCGTGCTAGCATCGACGTCCCGTCTCCCAATTTTGTTCACAAGGCTTGGGTCAACCCATGACATAGTTTTCAGGAACTGCTGTTATCGGATGGTGAGAATCGAACCCTCAGTCACGATGACTTTTGACTTCGTGCTAGTACAACCATAAATATAGCATATATTAAAGCTATA